CAAGGCACTTGGCATGCTTGCTCAAAAAAATTCCCTAGCCAAAGCAATTAAGTTCAGATATGACTCCTTTAGGGACATTAATGTTCTGCTGAATCATTTTTCATCTATTGATTATTCCTGTTGCAGCATCAAAAATTTAACTTCTCAGAGTTTAATTATGGACCCTTATTTACATTGTGCAGCGTTTACTGATGTGAATTGGCCTACTGAAGCCCCAGTGCAAGGCTGGGAGGACCTGAGATGATTATATCTTGGCTTAAGCAGTCTATTTTGGAAGCCATCCCTGACAAATACTCTTTGGTCCTGCAGCTGTTCCATGAAGGACGTTAAAAGGCCAATACAGTGAAGTGTTTGAAATTTATCTAAATAATATTTGTACTAAATAAAATGAGCTTTAGGCTGTAATGTGGCAACACTAATTATTAGTGAAAAATTGTCACAGTGTAAAATATTGTGAAGGCCTTTGCCTAGATCAAGGGCCAGTATGTTCAAAATAACTATGGACAAATTAACAGAAGCAAGTTAAAAGCTGCTCCGAGGTAACTTTCCATGTACCTTCTTTTAGCCTGTGGTAAGTGAAGGCTGGCCCACAGTAAGTTACCAGTCAGTGAAACAAGGTAAGTTGCTGTGGTTTAGCTTTCACTTACCAGGTACTGGAAGGTATGTGGACCATTATTATGGAACATCAGTAAGTTCTTGCCCTGATTTAAGTCACTGTACCTTGTTCATACCCTCAGCTCTTTGGGTTCATAGCAGTTTTGCAAATCTGGTTATAAAAAGTTATAACAGAAGCTGCTGAGTGCTGAGCACTTTTTTAAACTACATCTCAGTTGCGGGTGTTCAGCTTTAAACATCTGCCCTTGAGCTCTTTGGAAAATCTGTTGTTTGATAAGCTGAATTTCCCTTCACAAAGACTGCTACATAGACAGTCTCTATGCAAGAAAACAATTCTTGGTGAAAAGCATCCATTCTTTTTCTTTTAATTAATCAGTTTAGGCATTTTTGGTCAGCTCTGAGATCAGTCACTTTGAGTCAATTATTGTAGGAATGGCCAAAGATTTTCTATTTTTCAAGACTCATTTTTAACAATCAGTACTGCCCTTAGTGTACTTACTTCTCTTGATTATGAGCTGCATCTCTCATGGATCATTCCTAGGTTTTATAAAGTGAGTAATGGAGGAGAGAGAGCCTCTGGCCCTAGATGTGTTCTTTCCAGAAATTTCTCCCAAGATTGTTGATAGTCTTGCATTTTCAATTTGCTTTTTAAAGGCCCCTGTCTCTTTCTTGCATTATTAGCATGTGTTGTTTGATTTGCTTCTACTAGTTATCATTTCCATGTGTGTGTTACTATTAGGAAGGAAATGGTATTTGTCTGTGAAAGAACTTGACGGTAATGTGCTGCTATAAAGGGAAAAAGACATTGCAAATTGTGTGCGTCAGATTGCAAGCCCTTAATTTGCAAAATTCCAAATGAATTTTAGATTAGGTTGTAGGAGCAGGCCTTATAATAACATAAGGGAGGTTTGTTTAAAATGTTTGTGTAGTAGGGTACCCTCCAGGGCTTGCTGTGAAGCTCCTGGGGGTCCCTTCAGCCCTTACTCACTCTGGTCTCTGTGGTCAGACACCCCTTCATTCGCTTGCCACACCTTAATGTGTATACGGGAGGACTTCCCAATCTGCTCTCATTCTAATGATCACCAGGTGTCTGTGGTCATTGCCTTATAGGCTAATTGCATATTTTTTTCCACCCCTACACTACTCCTCATGCCTTGCAGGTGTCATTACTCACTGATGTTCCCTCCAAATAGCCTGTCTCTGGCTTCTGGACCTCCTCTGGTCCCATACTCTTGGGCTCCTGCACTTTCTGCTGGGCCCTGCCCTTTTTCTCGATTCCTGCACACCCTCCTGGGCCCTTAGGGACCTTTTCCAACCCCTCCAGACTGCTGCTGACTACTCTCCAAGTTGGCATTCCAGGGTTGCACCCATCCTGCTTAAGAGATGTTCCCACGGTAGCCTCCAGGATCTTACTGCCTATTCCACTCAGGGTCTGGTCTTATATCCTGTCTAATCCCAGCCTTCTCCTAATCAGGTGAGGCTCTCATTAGCCCCATTTGCCATCTGTTGGCCGCTTTGCAGGCTGCTTGTCCTCCTGAAGTGGCTGGTACACTCATCATCCTGCCATAGTTTGATTCTGAAGTTTTCTCTTCTTTTTGTTATTCCCATATTATTCCCTGTACTGCTAAAAACCTAGATTTGCCACCAGACTTATACTTCTACAGACTATAACCCCACTTAACCATCACCACTTTTCCAGCCCAAAGAAATTAAGAGAAATCTCTTCTTGTGCCATTATTTCCTTTTGCTGGTAAATGTTGACAGTAAACTGTCTACTTATGACCTATTCCAGGGGTTGTCAACTGTGGATACGTGTACCCCCAGGGGTATTTAAAAAGGCCGTAGGGGGTACATGCAGGTGCGTGGGGACAGAGTGCTGCCACGCACTATCCCACACTGCCACGCAGGCACTGCCCACCTGGCCAGATGCGGGGTGGGGGCGGGGGAAGCTCGCACGCGGTGGCTGCTGCTGCTTTGCATCCAGCCATGCGCCATCCCCACCCCCCAGTTGATGTCCGGCTGCATGCCACCCTCTGCTTGGCAGCCGGGGACACACTGCTCCGCGTCCAGCCACCAGGGCATACAGTGATTCAAAAAGGTTGAAAACCCCTGACCCATGCAATTTCTTACCCCTGGCAGCAGAGAGCATAAGGCAAGGAATGAACTATAGGATTTGACCTTCCTTTACATTAATCTAATATTTCCTAGGAAAAGTCCAAAGAATTCTCAGGAATTATTTTATTGTGGCATGAAAAAGAGGAAAATGCAGAGAGGATAGTTCAGTGGTTAACTTGCTCACCTAAGACTAGTGACCTGAATTTTTTTCCCTATTTTGCCACACACTGTATATGGCCTTTGGCAAGTCATGGAAGATATATCTAGGCAGCTGTATATAACTTACAATAGTATATAACTTGAATGCCACAGATATACCTTATCATGTTCCGGGTAGTCTGCACTGCTCTGGGCAGACTACTTCATAAACCGGGAGCAGTGTAGCTGTGTCCATGCAGTACTTTAGCAGAAGGAAAGGTTTATTCTTTATTAGCAAAAAGGATGGGCTAATTGGCACTGTCACACATCTCTGGCAATTACATGGATACACAGTTTCCAATTTAGGAAGCAAACCTTTTGGCACACAGCAGTTTTTTTAAAGGTGCCAATCTGAAGTATGGCAAGTTTACTATACAGAGATAGCCTTATTCTCTCACTGTGCCTCAATTCTCCCTTGTAAAATGGGGATAGTGATTCTTCCCTACTACACAGGAGTGTCATGCGGGTAAATACATTACAGACTATGAAGGGCTCAAATCCTCTGGTAATAGGAGCCATTTAAGTACAGTAGCTGGATGGATAAATGTTTTAGTTCCTTTACAAAAAAACTGAACACATAAAGAGCAACTTAATTTTGAGTGTGTGTGTATAAGTCCTTGGATCCTTATCAAATTTGGTCCATTAAGATGAATATGTCAAATAAAAACAGTTGTGTTAATTTCATTACATCAGAAGGCAAAAGCAAAATCTGTAAGAGAGAAATATGTTCAAACCTCAAGGAGAGTATTAGAAATGCTGCAGAGGAAAAATAACAGCAAATGACTTGCCAGAGCACGGCTAACTATAACAGAGTTAAATAACGAATGGGGATATCATAAAGAGATCAATACATAGAGGCATAGAAAATAGAGATGGAAAAGATCTATTGGGTCATATTGTGCATCTCCTGCCAGGATACAATTGTTCTCTACAGTATATTCTCAAATTCTTTATCCAGTCTAGTTTTAAATTGCCCAAGCAATGGGACTTTGACTACTTCCCCTGGGAGTCTCTGTCACAGCCTGATAGATCTCATTGTCAAGAGATGTTTCCAGATATTTAACCTAAATTATACTCAGTTTCAAGCCATTAGTACTAAAGTTTCCTCCTTGGTGTTTATATCATTGAAAGATATGCAGATTACCATCATAACACTTTCAGTGTTGTTTGGGAAACCTAGCTGTGTTTCTACTGTACAAGGCAAAGGGATGTGTGTGTATGAATAGACAGTGAAGGATAGGATTGTACTCTCAAATACCATCCTCAATCAGAGCATCCACAGTTGCAACCATCTTCAGTTCATGGCAGATGCAGAGCCTTCACAGCAGGGCAAATGACCCTGGGCGCAGCGTTGCACTGTCGTGGTTATGTTATTCCAGTACCTGGGCTAATTCAGGTATCTACACGGCACTGTATTCCCTAGTTGAGATGAACTGAGCAGGGATATGAGCCACGCTGCCATTGCTCCGGCAGGTGTGGGTGAAGGCGAGATTCTGATCACCTGCCAAAAGAGATGGTTGCCTTTTGGGAGAGTTATTTCACCACACCCTGCCCCTCCTACATACATTAGAGCAATGGTTTGGATAGTGGCTGGGAGGGAAAGCTTTATCTTTTGTTCTTTTACTGTTTCTTATGTCTGCTCTTAATTTCATGACTATTTTTCTCTGAATTCTGTCCAGCCCTTTATAATGTGCCACTCAGAGAGTTTCATAGCAACCCTCAAGAGCAACAATTAATTTCTAATACATGATCTTTTTAAACACCAGGATGACAGGAATCTAAGTCTTGCCACTTTGAATGTTTTGGCACTTGTTTATTGTTTGATAGTACTTTTAATTATATCTCAATGTGATGTTTGGCTGTGTTTAATTAAATAGATGTTTCATGCCACAGCACTAGAAGTTACAATTACATTTACAATTAACACTGTGCTAGCTAAATGAGAAATATTTTTCTTCTTTAAAAACCTTCCTTCAAGATGCCTCCCCCCTCCCAATCATTCCTTTCGCTGGTTTTAAATGCTAGCAAATCCTTTAGCTCCAGCCCCATCACATCACTTTTCTGTACCTTAGAGTCTTGCTGCCAGATGAGAACTTTGGACAGTGGGATTGGGACCTTCCCTCTCCCAGACTCAGGGAACCGGTCAACGGCACGACACGTTTCTAAGCAAGAATTGACCTTAGAAACTGAAGTCTTCACATCTCCTGAGGAAGTCCTTCCTTCAGCTCCTTCAGTGAAAGCCAAAACTCTTGAGCGAGAAGTGCCTTCCACGCCTAAGAGCCAGGGATCTGTCGAAAGCATAATTAGTCATTCAACATCTGATCCTACCATGACAGCCAAAAATATACGACCTTTTCAAAGTCGCCTTCCAAAACCAGCCTCCTCAGGTAAAATGCCAATTACATTGGAAATTAGATTCTTTATGTCCTAACATCTGTTTCGATTAGCAGAAGTCCTGTAATAATGACATTAGATAACAGGAAATATTAAGCAGGTAGCTGAAAAGATTCCTTATGTGAATATATAAGATTAACAAGTTGGTGACCTGAGCCGCATGGAAAATTTGTTATGCATAATGCTTATCTTATCTGAGAGAGAAAAAAAAATGTATAAAATATTAAATCCCTTCCCAAGAAACAATATTTGAGTAAAAACGTAGGGCAGGCCTGACAGTCGGCTTGAAAAAGAGTGGTGGATATTCATCAGCTTTCAGGAAAAATCTCTACATTTGCTGCCGGGAATAAAGAAGGGTCATGTTGTGATATTAAAATGTGAAATGACAAAAAAAGACTTGCTTTCAAAATTGAACTTGGACTACATTGCAATTTGAACTCTGTGCATAAATTTGGTATCAATGAATGGTTGGCGATAACCATAAACATTAAGTCTTGTGATAAGTCGCTGTGTTGTACAAACATATGGATTTACAGTAACATAAAACATGCATTTTAATGTAGCAGCTGAATGTGCATAAACTATTAACATATAAAACAATAGTCAACAAAGGAATAAGAGGCATGTAAAGGTTCTACTACAGTGCACATATGCATATAGTGTAAGCATGAGGTTGCAGCTGTGATGGTTCAGAAATTATGTGAGGAAAAGATTTCTTAGGTGATATCTTTTATTGGCCCAGCTATATAATTGGCCCAATAAAAGATATCACTCCAAAAAAATGTGTGCCTCTCACATGCATATACACACACATAGCTTTACATGTGCACATAACTTAGTGTAGCAAACAGTGTGTATGTGTGTTTAAAGAACTATTACTGAAAAATACACGACTAAGAAAATTGATGTTTATCCCTCAAGAGCAGTTATATTTAAAACTGAATGCTTTTCTTACTCAATATGGAAAATATTGTAAATAGCACAGTTGTTTTCACTGGTAAAGGAACAGAAGTTCATTGTCCAGTACAGTATTATGTATTTCTTTGTATCATGTTCATTTCAAGATTGGGGGGTTATGTTCTTCAAAAATGAATATAAACTCAGAGGAAGTATCAGCTTCAAAAAGTTTCCATTTAAAAAAATACCAGTAAGCACATGCGTACACACACACACACATGCACACACACGCGCACACACAATGCATGGATTAGCTTTTAGATAATTTTTTTAGCGGTTTGTTAGAGTAAAATGTTTGTTGCAACTATGAGCTGATCCTAATGTATTTGACTTTTGATCTATACCACACTGACAAAGAAATTCGGTCCGCTGAAGATGTGAGGCTACACAACAGATTCAGCTTTATGTAAGGACACCAAGCGTGTGTTCCACTAATGAACTGATGTTTAAATTGAACCTAAATGTGAAAAAGCTCCTATTATACATTCATGCAAATTTACAAAAGAGCCATTCAAATTAAACATCTTGGAATTTAGTTGATTTAGGAATATTCCCAATCCTGAAATGCAGTGGTATAATAGAATGCAAACACACATCATAGGCTTCATTTCAAATTCCCTGGTCATTTTGCATCAAACCTAAATAAAAGATATTTTTAATACATATTATTTTTTAAATAAATGTACCGTTAATTAATGGCACAGCTGAGAGAGAGTCAGAAGAGAAATCTTAGTTATAGATTATATGCTACATGCTTGAATAGTCACATGTGTGACCTCAATTCAGCAGAGTGCTATGGAGTAGACTCCATGATTAAACACTGTCATTATAACAAATTGAATAGAAACTGCAAGCATTGAATTGCTTCGTAAGAAGTTGGTAGCAGTAAGATTGTTCTGATCTTAATGCTAATATTCACAGTGCCAGCCTTTTAAGGTTTGTATCTTAATTAAAATGTCATGAAGAGATGTAAAAAAAAAAACACCCAGTATACATCAGATGGTGAGGTCAACTCATTCTTCCCTGGAATATTTTCATCTGACCCTTCTTCCTCTCACTTCCTCTCCAAAATCACAGCTCTTATTTTGTACCACAATGCGCTGTTTATTTTCTGACATTTTCGTTGTATGTCGTATTCACTTAGTAAATAAAAAGACTAGTTGATTTAGAAAATTTCTCCTAGGAAAGTATCAGGTCTTTTTATTTTTGTTTCAAAACACGAGTTTGCTTTATTCCTCTCTGTCAGAATACAAACAGAACAGATCCTGCAATGTTATCTAGGAAACAGGTATTGCATTTTGTTTCTCATTTGAAAAGCATTTATATTTTAAGACTCAAAGAGGGGATTTAAACTACATCTTTCTCCTCTTCTCTTGCTCTTGGGAAATTAGAGTAGACTCATCCACCTTACTCACAATAAACTCTTCTGTATTATACAAGTTGTCCTACAGAGGTGAAAGTATATTTGACTGACATAAAAGTATCAGAATCTGGCCCCAATTTGGACACAGAATCACACTTGCACAAAAACAATCGTTACTGTTAATGCAATGACAGCTAGATCTGGAATTTAAATTGTCTCTTTTTAAAATCAGGAATGATTAACTTAACAAAGCAAGATGGACAAGAACAGAGTTCTGTATCTTCAGCATCATTAGAGCAGACCGAAAAACCAGTGGAAACCAAGAAGATTCTTCCAGACTGGACCAGCAAGAAAGCTACTAAATCAAAGGTATACATTTAAATGAATGCTCTAGTAGCATTTCATGGGATACACTATAGTCTAAACACAGCATTTAACTGTACAGTCAAAAATTGCTAACAGTTTTTAATACAGTGAACAGCTGACAATCTAATAATAATGGTAATATTTACCACATATTCTCTCATACCATGTTCCCCCATAAGACATGTACCTTGTTTTTGGATGGCAGAATAAAGAAAAAAAGATTTTTTCAGAGTCATGACGTACTATGTGACATAGATTAAGTCTTCTTGGATAGTGTCCAGGAAGTGGGGCATCCCAGGAGACAGTCTAAAGACCCTGCTATACATGCAAATTAAAGCTTGACACCTTTTTGAGGTCTAACTTTTTGTTGTGTGATATGTATTATACACATATAGCTGGTCTCAGGGTAATTGCACATTTAATCAGTTACTTGTACAATACCTGTAACGTGTACAGGGGTCCTAAGTGAGGCAACAGAATTTCCTGATGTGGCTGGACATCAACAAGGCTAGGTCTGAGACTCTTGCAAGGGCAGTAGCAAGACTGTTACTTCTTTCAGTGAATGAGTCTTATTATAAGTTCCAGTAAATAATAATAATCAACCCAAACAGCAGTCCTCATCAAGATCCTACTGACTGCATATAGAGTTCATTTCATGTGAGCTAACACAATTGCTGCTTACAGCACAAGATACAGTATAGCTACTACAAATTCCTTAGCAGCTATAAGAGGGTTAACACTGGATTACAGGGTTTCTGCTTGCTAGGACCACGGAGAAATGGCAGGCATTTTGTCAGTGTTAGAACACAGTGTCTGCATACATCTATTCTTCCCATTTTCTAATCCAGTTAAGAAAAATGAGTTTTCCCAATTAAGACATGAAGCTGAATTTTGGAGGGCTGATAGGGGAGAAGGCATGGGTGGTATATGAATATATATGGTATTTAGCACATTTCATCAGAGGACTTCATTTTTATTGTTAATTCTACAGTCCACAAAGCTATGGTAGGTATTTTATGTCATGCTTAACAAACATTCATTATTGAATATTATCCCCAGGCATTTTGTACAGGTCAAGATGCCATAACAAGGTACACTGTTTCTTTAAGGCTAGGAACAGACATTCAGAAAGCCAAAGCCCGAACTGATTCAATCTCTAACCTGCAGAGATTGATTCAATCTCTAATCTGCACAGGTTAATCTAACCTGCATAGATTGAACTGATCTGCAAGTGAATAGACATTCATTTTTGATTCCAGAAATGCATGCACATATCTGCAGTGGCTCAGGTCAGAAGCCAGGGACACTAGAGCATGCCCTCCTTTCCCTTCCACACTAGCCGCAAGGCTAGAGGGAAGCTGACCTGCAGGGGTGTGGCCAGGCCCTGGCAGGCTGCTCAGGGTGACTGGGGAAGGGTTTAAACCCCCACCCTGTGTGCCTGGAGGGGAAGGGAGAAGCAGCCCCTGCCAGGTTTGTCCCCTGGGGGGGAGGGGGCATGGCCAGACACCAGCCCAGGCAGCATCTCAGGCAAAGCAGGAGCAAGGAGGTGTATTAAACTCCCCTGTCTAAGGCAGAGGGGAAGGGGGAATCCCTGCTTAGCAGGGAGTGGTGAGGGAAGGGGAGCAGGGGGAAGCCAGGCAGATGCCTGCAGTCTCTGCCAGATCTCCAGCCAGAGAGCAGAAGGGAGGGGCCAGCTCTGCTGTGGAGCAGAAAGCCCCACCCAGCCCAGAGAGCATGCCGGGATGCTGGGGGTGTCTGGTTTAACTTAAACCAGCAAGGGGCCTGGGATGGACATTGCATAAGCCAGTTTGACCCAAATCAGTTAAGTCTGATATTACATTCAACCAGGTTGATCTCAAACTGGTTTCAGCCATTTTCAGACTAGTTTATGTGCACTGAACATCTGTTCTGTTACAGGTTTAAACCAATTTCTGATCAGTTAAATAGTTTATGTGTAATGTCTGTCCCTCACCTAAGAGTCTGGCTCTCTTTGTTTTCCTTTGGAGAGTTAGGCCTGGTTTTTTCCCAGGTCTAGCTCTGCTTATTTATGTGAAGTGAGTGTTTGGCATAGATGTGATATGAAATTAAGGTGAAAGGGAAAAACTCTTCTTTTTTTTTCTGCCTTTTCTTTTGATGAGTCCCTGCAGTGATCTGTCTTTCAGTCCTTCCCTGAAAACTACAAAAAAGAGCAAATGGGCAAAGCTGCACAACTCTGAATACCTTAGCATACACATGCACCTATGGAAAAACTACCTTTGATGGCTACCAGGCTCCTCTTCCCTAGAAAAATCACATCACCACGGCTCGTTGGACACACAGAGAGGGTGGCGGTGGTCATGGTTAATAAGTAAAAAAAAATCCTCCCTGAAGAAAGGGAATAATTAGGCAATTCTGCTCCAGAGCTGGTCAGCAACCCTCACGTTGTTTATATTCTTCATACCATGCTGTAATTTATGCTTACTTCTGTTTCCATATGGTGGAGTCTGGAGTTTTTTGTGGGGTGGTGGGAGGGAACAGGGGTTTACTGAAGCACTTTTTTCTGTTAAATCAGCTCAAACTCCTACATAGACCCAGAAGGGTTAAGCGACTTGCTTTGTGTCACATTGGCAAGGCAGCTACAGACCTTGATTGGAGTCCAGAGCTCCTGACTCTCCCTCTGATGCTTTTGTCAGTAGAGTATGTTTCTTATCAGATGAGTAGCTGCTATTTTGAATTTCTCAGTGCTGCATGGGGAGATTCAGAGCTACTGTAAAGTGTTTTTTTTTTCTAATAGGTTTAAAAGTGCTGGGGAAATGGGGTTTGAGTTCAGGTGATTATTGTACTTGTGAATCCAATTTTTTGACAGATAATCAGATCTCCAAGCAGAAATATCAGATGTGGCTTCCTCCTTTCTAGTTCCTGGGTTTCACCTACTGAGCTGCTGCCATTGCCATGGCATCTCCAGCCCTTTTCATTTTTCATTCCTTTTTTTTTTTTTTTTTTTTTTTTTTTTTTTTTTTTACTTCCAGAGGGACCCATTAGGTTCTGCATGAGAAACTTGACTTGTAGAGCCAAAAGACAGGTAGCCAATTGTGGAGTCATAGGGAGAAAAAAAGTGGGGGAGGAGGGGTGACTGCATGCACACATGTGCACACCCTCCCCAAGAAGGTATGTCTGTGGGGAAAGGGCCAGGGAGGGCAGATCGAGGCCTCACCCCACACAGCCGGGGTGGGGCAACAGACAGATCATCTGGGTGGTGGCCAGCATGGGGGGGGCGGCTCCCACCACTGCGCACACCCTGGGAGGTGTGGGGAACATGTGCCTCCAAGTCTACATGGGGCAGAGTGGGGTGCAGCTGCAGGCAGGAGCCACGGGGCAGAGTGGGGTGCAGCTGCAGGCAGGAGCCACTGCGTACACCCCAGGAGGCATGGGGGGGCATGTGGCCCCGGGTCTATGTGGGGCAGGGCAGGCAGGGGCCAGGACAGGGCCAGGCTTTTCCAGGCAGGGGGGAGCTGGACCGGGCTGTGCTCAGGACAGGCGGCAGGAGCAGTGCTGGGAGTGGGGGTTACAGCAAATTTTGGGGTGGCTGCGGCCCCCACCCCTCCATAGCCCTGCTCCAGTGCCGCCACCACGCTACCCGAGTATAGCCCAACCCAGTTCCTCCCTGCCAGGAAGAGCCTGGCACAACCCCGCCCCAGCCCGCAGCTGAAGCCCACCCTGCCCTAAGCAGATCCTAGGCAACCACCCCCCATGCTTCCTGGGGTGTGTGTAGCAACCTAAGCCACTCCCCCCTGATGAGCTGCTCACAACTCAGTCCCACGCCCCAGCAGCTGTGTAGTGCCCACCCCAGACCCAGACCCATTCCCTCCCCACCCCTGCTGCAGCTGCCAGAAGCCCACAGCCAGGCTGCCTTGCATCCCTACCGCTGCCCTGCATTTGTGGAAGGCTAAGCCCGTTAGCCTCCCCTTTCCACTGCCTGTGTGTGGAGTTTATTCTTTCCTCTATGGCCCTTCCAAATGCCAGGGGCAGGAAAGGGGAAAGGACTTTCTGATGGCTGTTTTCGGCAGAAGTACAAAAATCAAGCATGTTTTAGGCTGGTCATGCTAAATCATTATCTGTAACCTCTTTGCACTGAAGTATCTCATCACACACTTTGTGAAACCCCTGCATGTTATCGACTTGCTATCTTAGAAATTTTTTGAGAGCTTTTAAAATTATACTTGATGGCTACTATTTACTATGAGGACACATAAATAAATAATCTGAAGAAAGTTCATAGCCTTGGAGCAGTTTTACAGAGGGAAAGACAATCACAGAATTGGCTATGTATCAGCAGGGACTTAGCAGGACAGTAATACTGGTTATCTCCTATGTTGTAAGGAGTTTGATTCCTTGCTCCATGATAAGTTGATGCAGTTAAATTAGTAAATCAGCTTTCTTTTTTCCAATTGAACTATCTGCGTGCACCAGGTGATGAGTGCAAAAAGTTCTCTTTCCTATCAACATACTTGATTATTGGGATGAGCATGAGCTACCTGATTAATTGTAATGCTATTATTTGTACAGGACAGAACGCTGCGAGTGTGCACATACTCTGCCAGCAGCAACAGTGACACTGAGACAGAGACAGAGTATGAAACAAATGAGTTTGGAACTGAAGAGGAAAAGTTAGTAGAGTTAACAAAGAACAACAAACAAGGTAATTGAAAATTTGTACATGGGAATTTATAGTTCTCATCCCCATCTTGACTGCAGCTGATTGTGTCTTCCTTTGTGCTGTATATATCTTGTTTTCACTTTTTAACTCCACATCTTTCTTCAGATCTAATTTTCCATTATGTACTTTTTATTGTATATGAACATCATTTTTTTTCTCTTCCTTTCTTGCACCTTTTTTTCTCATCAGAAGCCTACCTAAGTCTAAGGCTTTATTCATATATCCCTATGGTGCAACTAAAAGTCTTCAGTTGCATTATTGCAGCAATAAAGAAGTGACTATAAAGAACTTTTTTTTAATTCTTTGGTATGTTAAAATAAACCGGTGATCAAGGCCATAGTTTGCAAACCTCCCTGTTACAGAAGTACTGGTTATGCTGGTATAGTTAAGCCTGTCAGCCTTCTCATTAAATATTGCCACTGTCTGAGGACAGTACTCAGTTGCTGGAATTCACTGGGAATAGCAATCCAATAAAAAGCTCAAAAGTGAATTTCTTGGGGTTATTTATTTATTGTAGTGGGCTGTCAGGCTTAGAGGCTGCGGTCCTTACTTAAGCACCAACAGCATTTTTACACGTGTAAGCACCGCAACACCAGGCATTATGAAAAGTGCCCGGTGCTGTGACACTTGCAGTTGTATAAGCGGCGAACCTCAGAGGTGCTTTAGTTCAAAAGCGCACCACTGCCATTTTCTGTGTGCTGATGCACATTTCACCACTTTTCCAACTGCACACAGCACAGAGCAGTTCACTTCAGCTGGTGTGCGGAGCAGACTCAATTAATCGGCAGATCTCTGTTCTATAATGGGAAAAAAGTATGTGTATAAATGCCCCAAAATAAGAAAACCATGAGCATTATTAGTACAAGTTACCCTACAGCATACTTTAGTTTCTCTTATGGAGAGTATTCCCTGCATTTGTTAAGAGTGCGATGAGGGCCCATTCAGTCCTTGGCTTTCTTGCCAGGGAGAAGTGCAAGGGGGTGCATAGGTCCAGTGCAAAGTTTCTGCACCACTGAAGCCCCACTTAAGCCCTGAGAACTTAATTGAGACTTCAGTGATGCATAGGTTTTGTGTTGACCTTTTACGCAGGACTGAACTTGACCCAGCTGAAACTATCACCTACAGTAGATACTGCAATGATATATGCATTTAAAATGCCACAGGCAGCTCAAGACTTGAGTTAGATACACAGGTGCCATTTAGTGTCTGCCAAGAACTAAACTCAGCGTTTGGCACTTTTAAAGATAATCCATTTGGAGGTTTTTCTGCAAAGAGATTGTGGCAGAGTGGGAGGTTAAGATCACTTATATATTTAGGTCACACTCCTATAATTGTGGGTTAATCTTTGGTTATATGTCCAATGCTGCAGGTGAGTAACTGAAGCAAATAAGCTTGCCTGACATTTTTCTATCATCAATATCCTTATGTGAAAACCCTGTTTTATTTTATTAAACAGGTGATATCAGACAATTACCATTCTTTCTTTATCCCTCATACTTTTTAAAGGATGTTATTCAGGGGTCCTGGTTTTCTCTGTTAAAAATCCAAAATTCTCTGATGGAAATCAACTCCCAAATTCTCTGATTTAAAACCCCCTAATCTGCATTTTCCCGTGATTAAAATGAAACACCACTACATAGATAGGTATCAGTTGAGCACAATGTTGTAGTGATATATTTACAATTTTAAAGCAATTTGGAAGCCTACCAGTGCCTCAGTCATTATAATTTGATTTTGGTTTTTTGTAACATGGAAAATCAGAGTTGCCTCTGCCCCCTTTGCTCACCAGGATGCGGATCCACCTGCGGCTGTCTCTCCCCCCACCCCCTGCTTTGTGGTGCCGAGTAGCCCTGATACGTTGGTGTCCCTCACTCCCAAGCCACAGCCCCCACAGCCCTGCCAGCATGACCCACACCCCCCTGTCACTGCCAGCCCTGCTAGCATGACCTGCAGGCAGAGTTGGCTTTAGTGGTGGTCAGTGAGATCAACCACCCAGGGAATGCACCAAGGTGGCAGGGGGCATCACAGCTCCCCAGGGCAGAGCCCTGCCTCAGCTCAGGTGGGGGCCAAGGAGGAGGCAGGGAGCCAGAGATGCCCCTTATTTCCAACCCTCAGCACCCTTTCTCCC